CTAACTGACCCTAATGGAAATGCCACTCGGACCCCTGCCTCCTCAGCCCTGCCGCCCGCTCCCGCCCAGACCCCCCAAGCAGAGGACGATGTCACCAAGTGCCCCTGTTCTTGCAAAGTCTGGGCCAAAACCTCAGCCCTCCAGGGCCGCGCGGCCAGGAAGCCGGTGGGAGGTGGGCGTGGGCCTCGCTCCGAGCCTCAGCCCAGAGAGCCCGAGAGCATGGCCCGTGTGCCCCGGGTTTGGAGGGGGGGGACCAGGGGCAAAAGTGAGGGGCGCTCCCACCAGCCCAGGACCAGGCAGCTTTGGGAACAGCCGCCCTCCAGCATCCGGGGCCCAGCAGGAACTTGCTGAATGAGACTGGTTTGAGGTCATTTTGAACTTGGATCCTGCCCCTGGAGACCTGGGGGGGGGGGGGGGGGGGGGGGACGTGACCTTACAGGAAGCACCTGTGCTGGACGGACCGGAAGACAGACGCTCAGCTGGGCTGCAAGCACCTGCCTGTCGGGATGCTGTGCCCAGGCAGGACCTGCAGGGGGCAGACCTCTCGTGGGGAGGCAGGAGGGGTCTAAGAACCCAGGAACATGTCCCTAATGAGGAAGAGCCAGCTTCCAGGCACCTGACCCTCCTGAGTGCACCTGACCCGGCCAGGTCACCGCCACCTCTGTCCTCCCCGCCCCACGCTGCAGCCCTGCGGGGACCAGAGGCATCTGTGGGGGCGGGGGGCGGGCAGTGGGCCCGATGGGGGTGAGAGGAGCCCACGGCTGCCTTCCTCGCAACCAGGTGTTTGCATTTCAGGAAGACTCGGCTGGGGGAGAGGAGAGGCTCTGAATGGAGCGTAAAGCTTGGCTCTCAGACCGGGCTAGTTCAGGATCTAAGAAATAAGGAGAACTCCAGAGAGACCGAGGAAGCTACGGGCTCGGCCGGAGGCTCGGCCAGAGGCAGGAAGGATCGGGCCCACAGAACGAGGGCCGCTGGGAAGAGTGAAGTGACTCCTGCCCACGGCTGCCAGGCTCTGCGTGTCCCGTGTCCTCACGGCCTCCGCCTCCTCACGGGCATCCTGTGCTCCCTGCCGCCGGGCCTGCCTCCCCTCCCGTCCAGCCCCGTCTCAATCCGTGGGGCGCAGGCCCCCAGACCAGCCTTCCCGGGCAATGGCTCCCTCCAGAGGCAGCACGTCCTCCTGGCCGCCAGCGTGGATGTCTGGCCGGGGTCCCAGCTCCTCGGCGTGGCGGCTGCGTGACCGGAAGCGAGTCGCTCCCCTCTCTGGGCCTCAGTGTCGCTGTCTGCAGCGTCGCGACGGGGAGAGGGGCCTGGAGGCTTCCGGTGGTTACCCGTGGAACATTCCGGAACACCCGAAGGCCCTCTCCGTGGGAGTGTTCACTTCCTTGCTACCTGGCCTGGGGCAAGTCCTTTTCCCCCCCTGCTTCTCGGTGTCTGCATCGGAGAAAGAGGTCATTCCGCGTGGGGGTCATTGCGGAGCGCTGCTGCGGAGGCTGGGGGCAGGCGAAGGTCACTGAGGCCCAGACCCCCGACAAGGGGGCCCAAGCTTAGGGCTGGCGGGCTCCGAGGGCGGGAGTGGGGAGGGTCCCACCATCCGCGCTGCCCCTCCACCTGTCTCCTGCTCGTCTCTCCTGCCAGCCTCTGGGAGTCTCCCCAACTTGCCCCTCACCTCCCCGAGAGGTCACCTGGGGTATGTGAGCCAGACGGGGGAACCCCTGGGATTTGAGGGGGACCTTCCGGCGCCCTTGGTGTCTGACGGACACACATGAATGGCTGTCCACGGAACCCCAGTCCTCCCATGCTCTAACTCAGTGGTCGGTAAACTCATCAGTCAAGAGAGCCAAATACCAACAGCACAACAACTGAAATTTCTTTGGAGAGCCACATTTTTAAAATATAAACTTCTAATGCCACTTCAACATAGACTCGCTCGGGCCGTGGTGTGTTGTGGAAGAGCCACACTCAAGGGGCCAAAGAGCCGCATGTGGCTCGCGAGCCGCAGTTTGCCGACTACGGCTCTCGCCTCATCGCAAACCTCTGCCCGGCTCTGTCCACCTCCCCGCTCTCCTCCCCTCACAGGCCTTCCATTGCTCGGCAGCAGCACAGGCGTGCCCACACCCACGTCACAGACCGAGGCAGGCAGGTTCCCAGGGCCCTAAACCCAGCTTCCCGCCCCCGAGGGCAGTGTCTGCAGATCCTGGGGGTCATCGGAAACCCCCTCTTCCGAGAGCCCGGTTCCGTCGTGCACAAAGGAAACGCCCCCCGAACACACACGGGTGTCCGTGACCCAGACGGGGCGCAGGCGCAGGGCCATGCCTCAGGGAGCCCTCAGCCTTGCGGGGAAGTGGGGTGAGTGCCCTGGGCGCTGGGTGAGGGCAGGTACGGGGGGGACCGCGGTGGCCAGTGGGTGTGGGAGGGTCCTGGGGCCAGGGCAGGGCCTGGAGAAGGGTGGTCCGGGTCCCGGACAGGAAAGTTCCGGGAGGAATGCGGCCTGGCCACGGGGTGGGGAGGGGAGACCTGATGGTGGGGGGACAGCAGGCACACGGCCCGCCCTGGCAGTGCGGGAAGAGGCCGTCCTCCTCGGCAGCCCCTCCTTCAGGCTCCTCGGCTCGGCCTGGACTCAGGCCCGCACATCGCAGCCAAGTCCCAGGCCCCCTGCAGGGAGGACACGGCTTCCTCCTCGGCTCCCAGCCCTCGGAGCCGCGAACAGATGTCCCGCTTCCTGCCGGAGCCCAGGCTGGGCTGGCTCCTGCTGCTGCTGCAGGGGAGCAGGAACCCTGGATGGAAACCTCCGGGCTTCCCCCGAGGAAAGCCCCCTGCCCTGGCGTCTGCCCCGGCCTCTGGCCCGGCCGGAGCCCTGCCTCCCCTCCGAGGCCCAGGCTGGGTCCGGCCGGCTGAACGCCCATGGGAGCCTTGGTCTCCATGATGCCCAGCTCTGCCCAGAAATGGGATGGGAGCCCTGGCTGGTGTGGCTCAGTGAACAGCGCGTCCCCCTACACACTCAAGGGTCCGGGGTTCGATTCCGGTCAAGGGCACATGCCCGGGGTGCAGACTCGATCCCCAGTAGCGGGCATGCAGAAGGCAGCCGATCAATGATTCTCTCTCATCGTTAATGTTTTTATCTCTCTCTCCCTCTCCCTTCCTCTCTGAAATCAATAAAAATATATTAAAACAAACAAACAAACAAAAAAACAGAAATGGGATGGGAGGAGGAGACAGAGAAAGGGCAGAGCTGTCTTTCACCGAAGGCAGGTACTAGAGGCACCTGCAGAATAAAAGCAAAGATGTAAAAAAAGGAGAAGGAAATGAACATGTACCGAGCCCCTGATGTGCGAACATTGGTGTGTTAACTAGCCCGTCAGCCAGTATAATAAGGAAGGAGCAGCACGCATTGAGCACCTACTAAGTGCTAGACACGGTGCCAGGCCCTGGGAGTACAGAGCAGCCTGGGCAGAAATGGTCTCTGCCCTGGAGTGCCTGAGGGCCTTACCAAGGGCGTCTCCTTGGTCTTACCTAAGTCTCACTTCAACCCTGTGAGGGAGGGACTGTGACCCCATTTTATACCTTTTTTGTGAGTTTATTGGAGCCAAACTGACAGCATAGGCTTGGGACCAAGCTCTCCAGTGCTCCCGATCCCATTTCATAGATGAGGTCGGCCTGAGGCGGGGAGGGGGTGTTGGCCAGTGACTGCCATGAGCCGAAGCCCCTCCCCTCTCCCCCAGGTGGCGGGGAGCGTCCACAGCCTCCGGGGGCCCCTCCAGCCGCCCCTCCAGCCCCGGGCACCCACTTCGGTCAGGGAACGCCTCCTGGAAAACTGCCACTGGAGGGAGTGGGGTTGCGAAGGAGGGTAGGCTTTTTTTTGTTTTAGGTTTTTCATTGCAAAGCTAATTTGCAAAAAATATATATAGACGTTTTTGACAGGAGAAAGTAAAAGGCTCCTCCACCACCCCCACACCACGTCCCACTCCCATTCCTGCTGTTCCTTCGCCCACCAGGGGCCGCGTCCTAACAACGGCTGGGGGCGCGGAGTCTTCTCTCTCCGCGTCTGTGTCCCCATAGAGGCAGGGAGGAGCTCTGCTCCCTTTGAGATCACAGGAAGATTATATATAATATTTATTATTATTATTATTATTATTATTATTATTTCAGAGAAGAAGGGGGGGAGAGAGAGAGACATCAATGATGAGAGGGAACCACCAACTGGCTGCCTCCTGCACGCCCCCCACCAGAGATCCACCGAAACCCCGGGCAAGTTCCCTTGACTGGAACCGAACCCAGGACCCTTCAGTCAGCAGGCCAATGCTCTGTCCACTGAGCCAAGCCAGGGGCAGGAAGATTTTTTTTATTTTTTATTTTTCAGTGCAGATGGAGGGGAGTGAACTCTGCTCCCTCAGGAGGTTGGGTCAAAATCTAGGGTCCCCTGCCCCCAACACCGGTCTCTATTCTCCCTCTCGCACACGCACCCAGGACCACCCCACAGTGAGCGGGTCAGAGGAGCCTGGGCCCCGTGCTGCTCCGAGGACCGCCTGCGGCACCCTGGACAGCGGCCTGGCCTCCGCGGGCCTCAGTTTCCCCGTTTCCGTTATGAGCCTGTCCTCGGCGAGGCTTCACCGGGGCTGAGGCTGGGGCTGGCTGTGGACGGAGCTGGGCACCGGGGTGCCAGGGGAGGGCTGCCCGCAAGGAGGCTGTTGGCACCGGCTGGGGGGTAAGGGGGAGCAGCGCCCTGGAAGGGTGGGGTGGGGGGCGCCCAGGGGTCCCCGGTGCGGCCATCGAGCCGCCTCCCCCTGCGACCAAGGCGGGAGAAAGCTCTCCGCGCCGCCGCCTGCCTCTCCCGCACCCGGCGGCGCCCCCGCCCGCTCGGCGCGGAAGGGGTGCGGGGCCGTGCCAGGCGGTCCCGGGGGGCCGGGGGCGGGGCCGCCGCCGCTCCCCTCCCCACGCCCGCTCCCCTCCCCGCCGTCTCTCCCCTCCCTTCTCCGCCGCTCGCTCCCCTCCCCTCCTCTCCCTCCGCGCAGCGCCGGGCTCAGAGCAGCGGCAGCAGCGGCCGCGGCCACATCTCCGGCGCCTCCGCTCCCGCTCCGGCTCCGGCTCCCGCTCCGCCCCGGCCCCCTCGGCCCCGCGCCCCGGGCCCCGCGCCCCGACCCCGCCGCCGCGCCTGCCGGGCCCCGGCCCCCCGCCGCCTCACGCTGAAGTTCCTGGCCGTGCTGCTGGCCGCGGGCATGCTGGCCTTCCTCGCTGCCGTCATCTGCATCATCGCCAGCGTGCCCCTGGCGGCCAGCCGCGCGCGGGCGCTGCCCGCCGCCGACAACGCCTCGGCCGCGCCCCCGGGCCCGCAGCGCGGCCTGAGCGCCCTGCACGGCGCGGGCGGCTCGGCGGGGCCCCCCGAGCGGCCCGGGGCGCCGGCGGCCAGCGCGCCCCCGCTGCCGCCGCTGCCGCTGTTCGGCCGCTTCCTGTGCACCCCGCTGGCCGCCGCCTGCCCGTCGGGGGCCGCGCAGGGCGACGCGGCGCCGGCGCCGGGCGAGCGCGAGGAGCTGCTGCTGCTGCAGAGCGCGGCCGAGCAGCTGCGCCGGACGGCGCTGGAGCAGGAGGAGCGCATCCGCGCCGACCGCGACCTCATCCGCGAGCTCACGGGCAAGCTGGGCCGCTGCGAGGGCGGCCTGCAGGGCGCCGGGCCGCGCCGCGACACCATGGCCGACGGCCCCGCCGACCCGCCCGGGCTCTTCCTGGAGCTGGAGGACGCGGTGCGCGCGCTCCGCGACCGCATCGACCGCATCGAGGTGAGCGCCGCGCCCCGCCGTCGGGGAGCAGCGGGTGGGAGGGGCCGGAGGGCGGCCGGGCTCTGGCCGCGCTGAGCGGGGGACCCTGGGGAGGCCGCGGGCTGGTGTTGGACCCTCAGGTCTCCCATCTCCCAGGGGATGGCGGTTCCTGCCCCGCAGGCCAGGAGGAGGACTCCCCTAGGGCACGTGGCTCGGAGGCTGACCCTGTGCCTGAGGCTGTCAGCCTCAGCTTACGTTTCTGCAAAGTGGGTATAACGGTGTCCTCTTGCAGCGAGGACTGGTTGACACGTAGGGGGTGTAAAAATGCATGAAATGTCCATTTCATTTTCTTCTTGGAGACTTCCCCAGAGCAGCCCACCCACACTCACTCCTAGGGGTCAGGAGACAGAACTCGGAACCCCCCTCTCCTACCCACGACAGAGAAACAGAGCCCATAGCTGTAACCCCCGGGGCGGTGCCTGGGACCCGACCTAAGGGCACGAGCCCCAGCAGGATGCCTGGCAGCTGGCAGCTCTGGGTGGAGAACTGAGAACAGGGCTCCTCCTCTCCCACTCGCCTTTCTCAGACACCCCTGCTCAGGCTGGGAGCCGGCCCCAAGAGCTCTGACCCGCCTGGCAGTCAGGCGATCCTGGGCCAGTCATTTCTCCTCTGAAATTGCCAGCCCCCAGCTCCCTGTGAGACTCTGTGGGAGGGGAGCTGGATGGATGGATGGACAGGCATCCGGGAGACACTGACCACCCCAACGGGTCAGGCGCAGGGAAGGGCGTTGGCAACAAAACGAGCTGTGAAAGGAAGGGAGACAAGGAGGCCGAAGCCTCGGCTGCCCCTCTATTCCTCCCTCCGAACCCAGTCCCCCCGGCAGAGGCGGAGAGGAGAGAGGCCGAAGGGAGAAACGCAGGGACCCCCGCTCCCCGCAGCTCTCTCTCGGTTAAATCTCTGCTCAGCAGCCCAGGCCCCAGCACCTGGAAGGCTGGCCATGCCCACCCCCGTGAGGGACCCTCAGAAAGTCTGTGCTGGTGCCCCCTCCCAGCCCTCAGGGTGTCAGAGTGCAGCCAGGGCGCCATCACAGACAACCTCTCACCTTACAGGGAGAAACGTGGGCCTCAGAGACCTCCTACGGCGAGCGACAGAGGCAGGAGGAAAGTCAGGAGGGGTGCTTGTCTGCCAGGCCAGCACCCCTTTTCCCACTCCAGCTCTGGGGGGTTTCTAGCCTGAGAGACAAGTGCAAGAAATAACAACAACAACAATAATAATAATGAAACGCTGAAAGTCAGCAGTGAAGGGGAGCCTCAGTTTTCCCACCTGCATAATGGGACAGTAACAGCACCTGCCTCACTGGGGTGTCAGGAGGAATAAGTGAGACAATCTCCATGAAGGGCCCAGAACTATGTTGGGCGGAGGCGTGCTCAGTCAGTTTGAGTGACGGCTATTTTTAACCCTAAGCTATCCCTTTACTAACTTTTTATTTATTTATTATTTTTTTGAAAATATGTTTTATTAAGTTTTTACAGAGAGGAAAGGAGAGGGATAGAGAGTTAGAAACATCAATGAGACAGAAATATCGATCAGCTGCTTCCTGCACACCCATCGGGGATGTGCTGGCCACCAAGGTACACGCCCTTGACGGGAATCGAACCTGGGACCCCTTAGTCCGCAGGCCGACACTCTATCTGCTGAGCCAAACTGGTTACAGCTCTTTATTAACTTTTTATTTTTTAATTCATTTTTTTTTCAAAATTCAGATTTTATATATATATATTTTTTATTGATTTTTTACAGAGAGGAAGGGAGAGAGATAGAGAGCTAGAAACATCAATGAGAAAGAAACACCAACCAGCTGCCTCTTACACACCCCTTACCGGGGATGTGCCTGCAACCAACGTACATGCCCCTGACTGGAATCGAACCTGGGATCTTTCAGTCCGCAGGCTGACACTCTACCACTGAGCCAAACCGGTTTCGGCTTTACTGACTTTTTAAATAGCCAAAAATAAAAACGGGAACAAACCCTCCTTTTAGGAATAGATTTTATTAATGTAAAACAATTTTTGGTTTTCAAATAATTTCCTCTTGCCTGCCCCAGCCCCTGCCCCCAAACCCAGATGGCAGCGTGGCTCCGCCCCCGTCTGGGGCTGGCAGGCTGGCCTGTCACCTGCGCGTTTGGCAGGGCGGGCTCCAGCGTAGCCCTGAGGCTGGGGCCATCCTGGCCGCTGGGGTTTGGCACTCGGCCCGCCTCTCAGGTGGGGGAGCTCTGGCTTCCCATCGCACACCGCCCGCTCTCAGGGTGCGGTGGACACGAGGGGAGAGAGGCAGGGCCCCTCCACCCCGCCTTCCCAGGGCCCCGATGTGGAGTCGGACCATTGGTCTCAGCTGGACTCCATCCCCCAGTCAGACGCCGTTTCGCTTCTCTCTTCTCTTTCCCTCCGACATCCGCACAAGGATGGATCCTCGCAGGGGTCCTGAAACTTTTTAAAGTGGGGGCCAGATCACGGTCCCTCAGAGAGCTGGAGGGCCGGACTATATGAACTACTAATTCCTACTGTAACACCTCGGCTGCGCTCACTGCCCAAAAAACCTGGCGGGCTGGATCAGACTCCTCTGCGGGCCGCATGTGGCCCGCGGGCCGTAGTTTGAAGACCCTGCTCCAGAGGGTCAGGGTCTGCTTTCTCGCCGCACGTGGCTTCCCCCGAGGCACCTGGCGGCACCGCTGACGTCGATAAACTGAATAAAACGTTTCAGTCCTTACCTCGCTGGACCCCTCTCCGACTTCTGACCCCCCTGATCATTCCTCCCGCAGGCTTCCGTGTCCTTGTCTCCTAGGCACCTCCCACCGCCTCTTCTCCCCTCCGCTGTTCTGCCCCTTTCCGGGTTCTCCCCCTTTAACATCGGCCCCTCCTGGCTCCCACCTCCCTCTCCCCGGGGGAGCCCAGCCACGCCCTCAGCTTCCAGCATCCACTCCGCTGTGACGCCCCAGCTTCCGCTCCAGCCCAGGATTCTCCCCTGAGCTCCAGGTCCCTGAGCTCCTCCCTCTGGATGTCCCACCAACCAGCCCCCGGCCCTCGTGTCCCCCCTGAACTCGGTCCCCTGCTTCTCAGGTGTGCTCTGGAAAGGCGTGCCGGGGTCCTCCCCTCCCTCCTCCTTCCGCTTGGCCTCTCTCTCTGTGGCCACTCTCAGCAGCCTGTCACTCTCCCTCCCCCAGGCACATCCTTCCCCCCTCCCCCCTCAGACAGCCCCAGGGGTCCTCCTCAGGCCACGGGGGCTCCCTGTATTGCAAACTCCTCAGCCTGCGTCCAGGCTGCCATTGGGGACCTGGCTCGTCTCCCCGTCCCCTCTTGCCTCTGTCGAGGTGCCCGCCCCCTCTGTACACCAGCATGTCCATCCGTATCCTTTCAGAGTGTTTGAGACACCTCTTCCAGAGGCTCTCCTTGATCACACTCTGCCCCTATCACCCTTCCCCACCCCAAAGGCCAACTACCCAAGTGGGGGAGGGTCCCGCCGGCCCCGCCTCTCTCTCCAGGCCCTGGGTGGGCGGAGGGCTTGGGAGAAATGGTTGGTCTTCATGTTTTTGCTTTTGTTGTTGTGGCTGATGCTGTTAATGGAAAAGTGTCAAAGGTATTTTGGGGGGGAATCAGCTCTAATCCCACCACTGCATTTGGGTTGCAGCTTCCTTCCAGTCCTTTACCCCAAGGCCTGCCCTGCTGGTCATTGCCCCTTCGTGGCGCCATCATACCCGGGGTCCGGCGCGGCTCTGCCAGCCATCGGTCCCTCGGGCATCTTTTGTTGCTGGGGGATGTAGGCGGTTTCTAATTCTCCTCCTTCTACGCTCCATGCGGGATCCACGTGGAGCAGAGAGCCGTGTTTTTTCTTCTTTAAAGTCTGCTGAATGGTTCCCGCAGGCTGCGTTCCCAGGAGTGGGGCTGCTGGGTCAGAGGATATTAGCTTCTGTGGCTGCGGCCAAGAACCACTTTCCAGAAGGGCTGGACCGCTGATGTGGCCACCGGCCAGGCCACGTGCTCCGTGTTCCGCGTCTGCGCTGATTTATCTATAACGGAAACCTCAGGATCCATCGCAGCAGTCATTCTTCGACACACACCACATCCTCCGCCAGCCTCGCAAGCTGGCCGCCTCCCTCCACCTGGGAACGGGAGCCGGGGTGAGGGACACACTGACGGCCACAGAGGGCCCTGGACTTAAGTACAGCTCACACCGAGACGTCCCAGGTCCCAGGGCACTGTGCTTCTCCCTTTATCCTCCTCCAACCTCTAGGAGGGGCGATGCTGTCGGATCCCTTTTTAAAATGAGGAAACCAAGGTTCAGAGAGGCTAAGGAACTGGCCCAGTGTCACACAGCAGTGGCACCTGGATTGGACTCCAGAGCCCTTGTTGGTCATCATTAACTCCAGATCCGTCTGGAGGGGTCAGGCCTCAGTGCCTTCCGGAGAGTGAGAAGGGCAGGCAGGGGCAGCGGCCCTCGCTGGGTGGTGCCCTGGTCCTCAGTTTCCCCACCTGTCAAATGGGAGGGGTGGGCAGGACCCCTCTCGCTCTGTCATTCTGTGCCCCTGAGGCCTCTCGTCCCTGGCAGGCCTTCCCGCAGGAGAGGAGGCTGCTGTGCCAGGCAGGGTTTCCTTGTGGGACTTGGTTTATTTTTTTAGGTATATCTTACACTCACGGTATCTGAGAGCTCACACAGCTTACTTACGAAAGACACAAATCTTAAATGCACAGCTCAGTGAACGTTTTCCGTGTGGAAATACCATGAGAGCACCGCCCAGATGAAGAATCAGAACATGACCAGTGCCCCAGCAGGCTCCTCTGTGACCCCCCCTCCCCCCAAATCTGTATTTCCCAGAGGCACCTCACTTCTGCTTCTGCCACCACCCGTCCCTCTAACACGCGTCCGAACACCCTTCCGATGAGTGCGGCTGCATCCCCAGGTCTGGTCTTCTCGGTTTCACTAAGCCTGAGGTTCGCTGGGCCCGGGTGTGTGGGTCCGGGGGCTGTTTGTCACGTCTCGGTGCTGTGCAGTGTCTCTGTGGCTGTGCCTGCACTGACGTACCTGTCCCTCTCATGGAGGGACGTTCGCTTGTTTCCGGTTTGGGTTGTGACAAATAAAGCAGCCTGCGGTGTGCTGTGGTGGCTGGAAGTGTCTCCTGGCTCCATCCCCAGCAGTGGGATGCCCGGGCCTGGGAAGGCATAGAGTTAGCGTCAGGAGGTATGTAGGCCCAATGCTTTTCCAAAGTGGCAGCGAGCGTCCACACGCCCACCTGCGTGCGAGTCTCGCCAACCTGGGCTTCATCTGGAAGACGCTCCTGTCCCCCTGGGCGTGAGCGCACTCGCCGGTGTTAATTTGTGTTTCTCTCCTGACTCGGAGCGGCGCGCCTTTCCTGTCATTTGGTGAAGTCCTCGCCTGTGAGAGGCGGAGTGAGAGTGACTGAGGGTGTGGTGGGGTTTCCCCAGGACGAACTGGACACTGGGGGCACGGATTGCAGCCCCCAGCCCCCCGTGAGAGGTCTGGGTCAAGGGCAGGGCCTGGGGATGGTGAGATGGTGGTCTGGACTAGCCTGGATATTTAGACTCCACTAAAGGGATAGGCAGTGGTTCTTGCCAGGGTCCCCTGAATGGCCTTCTGGTCCTCGCCGTAAAGGTCTGGGACCCGGCCACAACCGGTGTGGCTCAGTGGGTAGAGCGTTGGTCTGCGGACTGAAAGGTCCCAGGTTCGATTCTGGGCAAGGGCATGTACCTTGGTTGTGGACACATCCCCGGTAGGGGGTGTGCAAGAGGCAGCTGATGTTTCTCATCGATGTTTCTAACTCTCTAGCCCTCTCCCTTCTTCTCTGTAAAAAAATTAATAAAAAAATATTTTTTTTATTAAAAATATATATTTTTTTAAAAAAGAATACCCTCCCGGTCCCTCCCTAGGCTCACGGAGCAGACCATGCGCTACCCGCTGCTGCCCCTCAGCCCCCTCACTCCCAGCCCCGGATGCCCACCCCCAAGGGAGTGCCACCATGTCCTGCGTTTGCATTTCTCTCTCCATGCATTTCCATGCTTTTACAAATACACGATCTAGTTTTGAACCTTTGCAACTTTATTTAAACGGCATCTCCCACCCTGTTCCTCTGTAACTTGCCCTTTTCTCAGTGTAATGATTAAGCAAAAAGATGTAGAGCCCGGCTGGCTTGGCTCAGGGGTTAGAGTGTTGGCCTGTGGACTGAAGGGTCACAGGTTGGGGTCAAGGGCATGCATCTAGGTTGGAGGCTTGATCCTGGTCCTCCCAGTCGGGACATGTGCTGGAGAGACAACCAACTGATGTCTCTCTCATATCAGTGTTTCTCTCTGATTCTTACTCTCCCATCCACTCTCTCTGAAAATCAGTGGGGAGGGGGGGAATATCCTCGGGTGAGATTTATGGCTGGAGAGGGAGAACAGTTGGTGCCTTCAGGAGATATTTAATTATATTAGTGATGATGATAATACTGACACGTACATGCACTTCGTGTGCCGCCTCTCCTCTCTCAGTATGTTAACTCACTGAACTCTCACTGCCATGCCGTGAGATGTCATTTCCTTGCCCTTCTTGCTGACAGGGAAACCGAGGCACACAGCTTTACATCACAGTCACTGGGCTGAGGAGTCAGGCTGTGGGCCCAGGCAGACTCCGCTGCTGCCTGGGAGCCGGGCCCCGTGCTGTCCTGGGCAGGGGCGGGCTGTGCAGAGGGTGGGACTCTGGCCCTGCAGCCAGCACCTTCCCTCCGCTCCCAGAAGGAGAGTGGGTGGGTCCTCCCCCCATGCACCCAGCCTCCCAGCCACCCGCACGGGCGGGTCCCTCCTGAAGCTGCCCCAAACCACGGCGACAGCCTGCCAGGCCCCCCGGGCTCCTCAGGGCCACGGGGACCTCCCGCTGGCCCTCCAGGCAGGCAGGGCGGCGGGCACGGGGCCCCGTTGGCAGACCTACATGCGGAGACCCCGCCTGGCCGGGGAGAACCGGGAAGCGGAACCGGGTCTGCAGTCAGGAGGGCCTGGGCTGGTGTTTGGCTTGGTCACTTGGCAGCTCTGTGCCCTGGGCAGGTGGCTTTGCCTCTCTGAGCCTCAGCTCCCTCCTCTGTGACGTGGGCCTCCCGGTCTCTCCGTGGAGAGGGGCTGAGTGTTCACAGTGCCTCCTCGGTGCGGGCCTGGCGCGGGGACAGCCGCCATGAGCGTTGTTAGGAGCGCCAATGAGCCCAGCACACGGCCGAGCGGGACCGGAACCCTGGGCTGGCCGCCAGGCTTCGTGCCGTTACCGCGAACCCACCCGAGTCCCAGCACCACTGGCGGCGGGTCCGAGCCCCCGTTTTCCTGCCTCATCGGGACCTGAGTGGGGTGATGGCACCCTCCTCTCCCCCACCATCTCGGGCTCGGGGCCCGCTGGCACCCGGCTGGAAGCCCACGCGGCACAGCCCGCACCGCGGCAGATGGGGAAGTGGGGGGCGCCGTCGTGTTCTCCTGATTCAGACGCGGCGGGGAGGGGTCCACGGGCAGCCCTGCGCGCCCACCTCCTCCCGGCCTTCCCATTGGCGGCAGAGCCGGTGCTCCCACAAAAGAACAGCTTGCGAGCCCCCCTCACACACACCCCCCCTCCGCCCGCACGGCTCCCTGGAGACCGTGTCTGCGTGAGTGAGTGGCGAGCGCTGGGCGTCCTGCTCCTGCCTGCCGGCCCCTCTCACTCCGAGGGAGCAGGACGCTTTACTGGAGAGAGAAGGCTGTGGCTCCAGAGGTGGCAGCTTTGCCCCGCCCGTCGTAGAAAACTCCAAAGGACTCCTGCCTCGGTTTCCCTGGCTGTGAAATGGGGACACTCACAGTACCAACAACAAAAATGAGCTGTAAGGATTCATGCGTAGCCAGAACCAGTTTGGCTCAGTGGATAGAGCGTCGGCCTGCGGACTGAAAGTTCCCAGGTTCGATTCCAGTCAAGGGCATGTGCCTTGGTTGTGGGCACATCCCCAGTAGGGGTGTGCAGGAGGCAGCTGATCGATGTTTCTCTCTCATCGATGTTTCTAACTCTCTATCCCTCTCCTTTCCTCTCTGTAAAAAATCAATAAAATATATATATATATATTTTAAAAATTCATGAGTAAATACATGTGAAGTGCCAAGGATGGGCCTGGGGCATGCTCATTCGGATGTGTGCCCCTCCTGCCAAGCTTGGCACAGTGGAAGGGGGGAAACTGAGGACAGAGCAGGGCTGGGACCGAGCATTGCCGGCCGTGGCCCTTCCAGCACTGAAATTGGCCCTTCCAGAACAGCAGGTTGGCTCTCGAGCTGGATTTGAACTCTGGGCTGCCTGACTCAGGAATCTGTTATCTTAACCACATTCCACCCAGATGGCTTCCGCCCTGGAGCCCTGTGCCAGAAGCCCCTGGGTCTGCCTAGTGCCCAAAGCTTGGCGAGTGAGCAGGTGAAGACCTCAAGGACCCATCAGGGGCAGCTCCAGGCATGAAGGAGTGTGCTGTGGCCATCACCCCCGACTGCACATTAGAACCGCCCAGGGAGCTTCTCCTGCCAGCCCTCTCTGTCTCCCTCTCCCTCCCCCCCCCACCCCTATGCTCACACCCCTCATTGGCTGGGAGGTCTTTGAGGGCTGGAGCCAGCCTGCTCTCAGCTGCCAGCACACACCAGTCTGACCACAGTCGAGCTGGATTTGGATCCTGAGCTGTCTGGCTGTATGATCTTTATTGTATATTTTCATTGATTTTAGAGAGAAAAGGAGAGGGGGAGAGAGACAGAAACATCAATGATGAGAATCATTGATTGGCTGCCTCTTGCACGCCCCCTGCTGGGGATGGAGCCTGTAACCCCGGGGCATATGCCCTGACTGGGGTTTGAACCGTGACCTCCTGGTTCACAGGTGGACGCCAGCCCCTGAGCCAAGCCAGGTGGGCTGAGTCTATAGCCTTAACATGCTTTGCCAGACACTCAGTTTGCGACTGGAAGCTGGCATTGCTGACTCCACTCTGCCTTCCGGAAGCTGGAGCTCACCTGGGGTCACTCCGCAGCGGGGAGGGGGTCTCTGAGCCCCGGGTCCCTTCCCTTCCCCCCTTGGAGTGACCTCACATTTCCTTTCTCTGCCCTGAGAGCAGCAGGAGCTCCCAGCCCGCGTGAACTTCTCAGCCGCGCCTGCCCCTGCGCCCGCGGTGCCCACCGCCCTGCACTCCAAGATGGACAAGCTGGAGGGGCAGCTGCTGGCCAAGGTGCTGGCGCTGGAGAAGGAGCGCGCGGCCCTCAGCCACAGCAGCCACCAGCAGCGGCAGGAGGTGGAGAAGGAGCTGGACGCCCTGCAAGGCCGCATAGCCGGCCTGGAGCACGGTGGGTCCGGGCCTGCGATTGGGGGGAGGGGGCCTTGGGCTGGGGGGAGGGAGGGAAAGGGGGAGAGTCACTGGGAAAACATCCTCATGCTCTCCAGAAGCTGAAGAGAGAACAGCGGGAGGAGCTGGGAAACGCAGAGGGAGAGGATTGCTGGCTGCAATTCCCATTATTATTTTTTTTATCATTACATGATTTTTTTCTCATTAGTATTAAGTTTGTATTTTCTGGCACCTATTCTATATTGGGAGTGCGCTAAGACCTTGACACATCAGCTGTCAAGTCCTTGCGGTTTCATCTTCACGCACCACGGGGGGAATGGTGCTATTGTTACCCCCATTCCACAGATGGGGAAACTGAAGCTCAGAGAGGTCAAGTGACTTACCCAGGGCCACACAGCTAGTGCGTCGTGGATCTAGGCTTCAAACTAAATCCGTTCCCAAAGCTCATGCATTTAAGCCCCCCACAGAATATCGCCTTCAGTGAACCAGGGTTTTGTCTGTTTAACACCGGGGCCTGGCATGCCAGGGTGACAGAGAAACGGCGTGATGGACCACATATAGGAATGAGCATCCGGAGACCTGCTTCCTGGCTCCCCACCTGTCACAGGCTTGCTCGGTGACGTTGGAAGTTTGCTTCCTTTACCCAGGCCTTATTTTCCTCATCTGAAAAGTAGAGATTTCAGGCTCATAAGCTCTCATGGATCTTTCATCTTTCATCTTTGGTCCTTGTGAGGACCACCCCCAGGGGATTATGGACAAGTTGGGGATCCCAGGGAAAACCATGAGCTGACCTTTAGCCGGGACTGGCTTAAATGTAGGACAGGAATTCTGGGGGGAAGAAATCCGGGAGGCTTCCTGGAGGAGGCGGGCCTCCTGTTAGTCCTAGAAAGCAGAGGTGGGGAGTGAATTGTGGATTGAAGGGGCCAAAGCAGGGGCACAACTGAAGGGAAGCATAGCAGGTGCCTAAGGACTGGAGCATGCTCTGCCCACCACACCCTCAGTGGTGTCCACTGACTCCCACCATTTCCACCTTGCCCCCCATCCTGCCCCCCGTAGGGTCCTCAGCCTACAGCCCTCCCGACGCCTTCAAGATCAGCATCCCCATCCGCAACAACTACATGTACGCCCGCGTGCGGAAGGCGCTGCCCGAGCTCTACGCCTTCACCGTCTGCGTGTGGCTGCGGTCCCGGCCGGGCAGCGCCGGCCAGGGCACCCCCTTCTCCTACTCCGTGCCGGGGCAGGCCAACGAGATCGTGCTGCTGGAGGCCGGCCCCGAGCCCATGGAGCTGCTCATCAACGACAAGGTCAGCGGGGTGGGCAGACCACAGGGCTGGGGGCAGGGGCCACCCTTCCGGGAGCCCCGCACTGGGCCGGCCCCACACAGGGGGCCCCTTCCATTCTCTCGCTCAGCGTATGCAGCGCCCCCGCCATGCCTGCTGCCTGCCAGGCCGGGCTCCGGAGCACGGGGACAAGCCAGACCTGGGGCCGGCTGGAGAGGGGCTCAGTGGGGGGCTCCCAATTCCAGGGGAGGGAGGAGAGGCTCCCTGGAGGCCAGCTGTAGGAGCAGGGCTGGACGTGTCTGCCTCGGGGTCCTGCTCATTCTCCTGGACAAAGAGAGAGGTCCCGGGACCCCCCTAATGGAGAGGCCCCTCCCAGGCCCCAGCCGAATCCCGCTCAGCAGGAGGTGTTTTGATGGGTGTCCTGGAAGCGGAGGAAGGAGATGGGCGATGAGGTTCTTCTGAGACCCAGTAGGTCTTGAGAAGACTGGGAAGATGGACTACATCTAGATCCTGCTAACGAACCATGTTCCCTTCACTCCCCCGCTGGCTGCCATCCTGGGCTGTCAGCACGCACGGCTGAGGACTTCAGCACCCTGGACAGGGCACAGGGCAGCCCCAGTCCGGGAACCTCCCGAGGCCTTTGAGCACAGACCTCACAGGCCCCTTTGCTGCCTCCCTCCAAGCCTTTGCTCCTCTGTGCTCCCCCCTCGCTCTGTCTCGTGGGGATGGGTCAGAGTCCGTAGTCACCCAGGTGTGTTAAGCTCCATGTCTCTGTTCCCACACCCCTCCTCCTCTGGGCCTTTATCGGCTCGGTACCTCCCAAACGCATTTTGTCTCGTAGGTAATTCTGTTCCCGAAGCCCTTCCCTCGGGGCAGACCCGCTCCCTCACCGCTGGGGCCAGCGTTGCATCCCCGGCACTAGGCCTGGCACTGGTGAGCCTCGGCCATGCTGCCCTGAACTGTGATCTCAGAGGACGAGGGGATGAAGGAGCCTCTGGGAGCACCACACCACAGGCAGCCAGTGCTTCGCCTCCCAGGCCAGCGCTAACCAGGCAGCGGTGGTCTCCGAGAGCTCTGCAGGGAGGAGGCTTCTGAGGCCGAGCTCGGCTTGTGCTGGATTAGCCGTGTCTGCCTTGGGGGAAGGAGGCGGAGTGGCTGCCTGTTGGCCATTCCTCGCCTGACCTCCTCCCTTCACAGATGAGGAATCGGAGACCAAGAGGAAGGTGCAGACCCCACAAGCTTCCAGCGGGGGGGAGAGGGGCATAATTGGCAGATTCAGGGGCGATGCCAGTGCCCCGCCCGAGTCCAAGGCGTGTTCTGCCACGGCCTGCACTTCCTGAGCCCAGCTGTGTGCCGGGCACCGAGTGAGGTGTTCAGGGGAAGGTAGGATTGGAGATGGGGCTCTCACCCCACATGACCTTACAGGCCTGTAAGTGAAGGAACTACCCGGAAACAAATGAAAACCAGCACTGACTAGTTCCGGGGGCCTGGGTGAAGCGGTCTGGTTAGGTGGTGGGGAAAGAGGAGAGAGTGTGGGGAGGTCTGTGCTCAAAGGACACTGGAGGTTCCCCGACTGGGGCTGCCCTGGGCCCTGTCCAGGGTGCTGAAGTCCTAAGAAGTGAGTGCTGACTTGGACAGAGCCAAGGATGGCAGCCAGCGGGTGGTGAAGGGAACATGGTTAGAAGGGAACATGGGAGGAAGAAGAGGGCCAAGCCTCGGGTCCGTCCCCAGAAGGATGGGCATGGTGCTCCTGGTCCCCCCACAACTGCTTCAGCCTCGGGCCTTGTGACCTCTGACCTGGCGCTGGGGGATCTGTGTCCAGGTGGCCCAGCTGCCCCTGAGCCTGAAGGACAACAGCTGGCACCACATCTGCATCGCCTGGACCACGAGAGACGGCCTGTGGTCTGCCTACCAGGACGGGGAGCTGCGGGGCTCCGGTGAGAACCTGGCTGCCTGGCACCCCATCAAGCCGCACGGGATCCTCATTCTGGGCCAAGAACAGGTAAGGCTCAGGGTGATAGGGTGATGGCCACGCCCGAGGCCCAAATAGAAATACCACCCACCCAGGGCCCTGAGGAGGAGGGGCGAGGCGGAGGGACCCTGAAAGCACAGCAGTGATCGCTAGGTCTGACCCGGCCATTGGAGGCCTGCCCAAAGGGCTGGAACCTTAGGGGCGGGGCTAGCAGCTTGGGGCGGAGCTAGAACCTTAGGGGTGGGCTCAAACATAGAGGCGGGGCTTCCACTGGGACAGGGCCTGCCTATATCTTTCTGCACCCTCACCCCATGTCCCTCTCCCTTTTCTCTGCACCGTTGCCCAGGATGCTCTGGGAGGTCGATTCGATGCCACCCAGGCCTTCGTGGGTGACATTGCCCAGTTTAACCTGTGGGACCACGCCCTGACATCGGCCCAGGTCCTGGGCATCGCCAACTGCACCGGGCCACTGCCGGGCAACGTCCTCCCCTGGGAAGACAGGCTGGTGGAGGCCTTCGGGGGGGCCACCAAGACGGCCTTCGACGTCTGCAAGGGGAGGGCCAGGGCATGAGGGGCCACTGTGTCCTGGGCCCCCCCTGCCTGCCATGTGGAGACCTTACAGGAGGGGGCACACTCCCCCCTCAGCCTCCCACACACTGGCCTCCCCTCCTGCTCACGCCTGGCCATGCCTTTCATTTCCCGCCCCTACACCCACACCTCCAGGATGCCTGCCTGATGGCTGTCCCTGATCCCACCTGGGGTGAGTCCAGGGCCTGCAGGGGGGTAGCAGTGCCCACAGCCCACCACACCCTCCTCCACTGACCACATCTGAATCCACTGATGTCAGCAGCATTCTGTGGGGATGTGGGGGCGGGCACTCTCCACCGATGGCCCCAGGCAACAGACCTGACCCTTCCCCTCAGGGCTGCAGAGCAGTCCCTGCTGAGAAGGGCGGGCACAGACCTAGGAGACTCGGACTCCCCCTCCACCCCTCTCCACCAGCTGCAGGCAAGGGCAGCGGGATCTCGATGGACCCTCTACCCCACACCCCACCCCTCCTTCTCCTCTTTCCTCATTCCTTTGTGTGCAGTGGATTGAATGCTGATTCCATGCCTTGTCCCAACCCACCTCTAGGACATTTCCCTCTCAGCTCTGGCCTGGAGGGTCAGGGACCAAGACCCCAGGGGGCCACGAGGCCCTAGTCACCCCCATGCCCACCCACAGCTGTGTCCACTGCTTGCATGGGCACTCCTCCCACTCTGGCTGGGACGGGCCCAGGCCACCTCGGCCTGAGCTAGGAGTGGCATGAGGCAGAGGCCCCTGGCAGAGCCCCATTACCGCCCTCTCTGAGGAGGGAAGAAGCCCATGAGCAGCGGAAGCATGCAGGGCTGTGCAGAGCACCGCATGAGGCGGAGCCGCCCCTGGTTCCAGCCAGCTCTGCTGTGTGGCCTTCTCTAAGTCCCCGCCCTCTCTGGGCCAGCCTGCCTCATTTATGAGCATTTGAGATGGTCTGTAGCTTCTGGAGAACTTTCCTGGCAGGGGCAGGTCCTGGGACGGGCAGCACCTGGGATCTGGCTGGGCACGGGTCAGGGCCAGCAGCTGGCTCAGAGAGTCAGAGGCGAGGGCAAGGGGCCAGGCAGCCCCCCTCCTGTGCAAACTGTAAACACCAGCTCTTCGGGGCGCCCCCAGCCTGGCACTCTGCCTGTCTGCATGTGTCTCCTTGGGCTGGTGGCTTCCTGGTCCCCACCCTGGAGTCCTTACCAGCTCCCCCGCGGGCGTGGGAGAATGTCGGAGCTGAGAAAGCCACCCAGTCGGGTCCCTTATGGTGCAGATAGGGGAGCACTCAGAGAGGGCAGGTGACTTGTACGGGATCGCCCAGCACAGGGGGGCGGGGCTAGGACGAGAGCCCACACCTCCTGCCTGCCACGAGGGCCTCTGAGTCCAGCCTGCACCAGAGGTGCACACCCAGCAGGTCGGAATGCTTTCCCACATGACGACCTGGACATCTTCCTCTGGGAACCTCCCCTTGGCAGCCCCTGCCTCCCAGGAGGCCTGACACCCCCACCCCCGGCATTGTGGCAGCAACAGGAGCTGAGGACACGGGTGTCCTTCCCTGCCAGTCCCCTACCAGGTCCGGGCAGCTGCACGCTACCTGGCTCGTGTGGGCACTGGTGCCTCTTGCCCCACTTTTTGTCCTTGTCTCGCCCCCCACTGCCACGGAGCCTGAGGCCTGACTAAGAGCCGTGGGCTGCGGGGGTTCTCTGAGACCATGGCCTCCAGTCCCCGGGTCCTCGTCCCCCTTTGAAGAGCAGGAGCAGACCTTTCCTCGGCCGGCCCCGCTCCCCCTGGAGGGACCCAGGAGAAGGAGCGGCAATGGCGTGCTTCAGCCGGAACCTGCTGGGATCTAGGTTGCCCTGGTAACAGCCAATGACATCAGCCCAAGTACTGGGTCAAGTATCTCCCAGTGACATGCGCTGTTGCTGGGGTGATGGCGGGATTGGGAGCGTGGACGTCAGGGGCCCTGGACGCTTAGATCCGTTGGGCTTCTGTTTTTGTTTTTAAGGAAGCCGCTTCTGTGGAGGCCCCGGGGGAGAGAGAGGGTCTTAGGATGGAGGGGACAGAACCTGGTCCCTCGAGCCCACCCAGAGGACATCCAGGTCCGTACGCTTTGCCATGGTGACGAGACACCTGCTGCCCCCTGGACAGCCATCCAGGGGTAGCAGGACACGGGGGGGCAGGCTCTGCGTCTGGGCCGTTGGTGGGTGGCCTGGACCTCACTCATCAGTGCCGGCCCCAAGCCCCCACCCCTCATACTTGGTGAGTCCTATCCTCACAGCTAGGACTCTCCTCGTACACGAGCACAGAGAGACGAAGTAACTGCCCAGGGTCCATCAGCCAGCGGATGACGGAGCCGAGTTCACACCAGGCAGGTGTCCTCGGAGGCCCCCCTCCGCCCCAGGGGACAGTCACCCACACTGCGGGTGGGGTTTGGGCACCAGTGCTCCCAGTGGGTTTCCGCCTGAAGGGCCGTGTCTGGCCCTCTCCTCTCCCTCCCTCCCTCCCACCCCACAGTGTGAGGTGGAGGGACGGAGGCAGGCCCTGGCCACCCCCAGGCCCAGGTCCCCCTGGTGAGGCTGTGCCCCCTCCTCCGCTGGCTGGAGACTCCAGGAGGCCTGGAAGGCACACTGCCCCCCAGAGTCCCAGGCAGGGGCGGGGCGGGGCGGGAACAGCCCCCCTCCCGCTTCGGGCCCAGCCCCGCTCCAGGTGCTCTCAGCTCTCACCTGCCAGACTCCCCCCCCCCCCCCCCCCCGCCTCTGCGGCATGCTGGGCCCGGCCCGCCTCCCTGGGGGCCAGGTCACCTGCCACAATCACACATGTCCTCCGCCAGCAGACTCAGACAGAGATGGAAGCCCTCATTTTACAGATGAGGACACTGCCCCCCCCCCCACAATGGGCGAGGGGCCCGAGGCCACCCAGCTGGGACAGCGGGAGACCTGAGCCCCGCTTTCTGACGCTGCTCTCTCCACAATGGGGACCCCTCTCCCCGGAACTGGTTCCCCTTTTCTGTTTCCCTGCACCTGTGCCCTGAGCAAACTGGGGAAGGGGCCCCCCCCAGAGGTGGGACCATTTTCTTTAACCCTTTGTCCCAGCTGCCTGCCACCCCAAGTCCCCCTGGCCCCTGACCCCTGACCCCTGACCCTGCTGGGTGGAGAAGAGGCTCACGTGGGCCCTGGATGAGCAGTGGGAGAGCCTGTCAGGCTGTTGGACACGGAAATCAGTGCATCCTCCTGGTGACCCGCCCCCTCCCGTCCTCCCGGCCCCGTTTTGTATATAGTGACGTGAGGTGCAACGTGTGTGTGTATGTGTGTGTGTGGGTGTGTGATATGCCATGGATTTTGTCACTTTCTTGTTTTTGTAAATTCGAATGTTCAAAATAAACATGATGTTTACTCTGAGACTCTGCTTGCAAGACTGGGGCTCCTGGCGGGGTGGGGGGGAGAGGGAGCAGCAGGCAAAGACAGGAGGTGCCACCTTGGTGCCCAAAGCCTCACCCAAAACACCCAACCCCCCCCCCCAACCTGACGGGTTCTGCAGGCCCAGGGGCAGGTGTACCTCACTTCCCAGGACGGACGGAGGAGAACGTACAGAACACAAGTCCCACAGGGAACGTGTCCCAGTTCTGATAGCTGGCCTCAGCTCACTCCCAACCCCCATCCCCGTCCTGTGCCCCAGTTCTGGGAACCAAGTCCCTGACTTGTGTCCTGAGACCCAGTCTGCCTGAGTCTCGTGCCTGGACCCCCCGGTGGTGCCTGCTTTGGAGTCCTGGGAGGTCAGGGAGGGGAAGGAAGGTGGCCCTGTTGTGTTTCAGCCCCTCCTCTCCCCATGGTCTACCTGGACACCTCTGACCTGCTCAGCCACTAAGCTGGACTCTGACAGCCCCCCACCCACCCCTCCAGCACCCACCCATCCCTGGGGGGCCTTGACCCGGTCCCCAGCCTCCCTGTCCACACCATCTTAGGAACACAGCCTGCACCCTCCTATTCCATCTATAGCGTCATGGATTTGTCCTATGCCGGCCCCTTGTAAACTGCCAGGGCACCAGTCAGGGGTCAAAGGTCACACCAGCGAAGCAAGCCTTCCCCGACTCTTCCAAAGCTTCCCACCTTCCAGCCAGAGTGGAATCATCCCCTGAGGACCAGCGGTGTCGCTGGAGGCAGCACCTCAAACAGGAAATCATGTTTGAAGATTACTGACTTCGCTGAGAACTCGTGTGCTTTCTTCGTTCTACTCCAGAATCAGGGGCATCCGCTCGATCCTCCTTTTTCATTCTCTCCACGGCACACCCCTCTCTTTGGTAATGAACTCGCTTACTGTCTCTATTGTTGTTATTACTTACTTGGAAGGGAGAGAAACATCAGTGCGAGAGAGTTGATCTGTTGGCCCTGTATGTGACAAGACCAGGAATCAACCCTGCAGCCTGGATAGGTGCCCTGGCCTGGAATCAAACCCATAACCTTCTGGTGTGTGGGACGACGCCCAACCAACTGAGCCCTCCGGCCAGGGCTCCGCTTACTTCTAATTGTAAGGCATTCGGAGCGTCAGCTCCAGGACCAGAGAGCCCATATTTGCCACCTCACCACCGTGTTCCCCAGCCCCTGGCACAGAGCAGGGCATGGTGTGTCTTGGCTGAATGCTAATGCAGTGTACACTGGGTACTTACTCCGTGCCAGGCACGCTCGGCTCTGATCCCTGGCATATCTTAGTTAATTTACTCCTGTGAGGGGAGCCCTGTGAGAAAACAGGCATGGAGAGGTGGCTCCTTAACCACGGCCCTGTGGCCAGGAAGAGGCAGCACTGGATTTTAACCCAGTTCGACTCCGTAGCAAGCACTCACATGCTGCACTATGTCATGTGGGGTTTCAAATTCCCCTTAGCCCTTCAGGGAAGTCAAAACTCTGGTTTGAGCCCTGGCCAGCGTGGCTCAGTGATTAGAGTGTCAGCCCACAATCTGAAGGTCATGGGTTCAATTCCCAGTCATGGAACCTGGCCAGATTGCGGGCTCCATCCCCAATATGGGGCGAACAGGAGGCAGCTGATTGATGTTTCTCTCTCACGAATGTTTCTATATCTCCCTCCCATTCTCTTCTTCTATCTCTAAAAATCAATACAAACGTTTTTTAAAAAGCAATGGAAAGGGGGTAATGGTAAGAGATCAATCAAAGGACCTGATTGCATGCATATAAGCATAAATCATGGACACAGACAGTAAGAGGGTGAGGGCATGTGCTGGGGGTAGGAATGGCTGGGGAGAGGCTAATGGGGGGAAAAAGAGACATATGTAATACTTTAAACAATAAAGAATTTTTAAAAAATGGGGAAAAAAATACCCTCAGGTGAAGCTTAACAAACATAAAACACTGGTTTGAGAAACAAAGGTGATGTAGGCGATTTCTGTTGCTGACCAACTCTCCCACTGAGAAAACCTAGAAAAAAACCAAACACCATATTTCAAACATCCCGTGAAGGTAGCAAGATAGGCGAGAACTGATTCAAAGTCCGCTTAGAGAAGCTCAGAGCGGTGAGCCTGCCTTTAGGACTCCGCTTTCCTCGAGGCCCCTGTCCACTTACAAACGCCAGAGCTGAGAAGAGGGCAAGAGCTGAGCAGCTGGTTTGCATGTTCAAGAAATTCTATGATGAAGAGATGTACAGAGTCCAGCTGAAATTTGAGATTCTAGATGAGAGCCTCTCAGTAAATGACCCAGTCTTGCAGTGGGGCCTCAAAGGGTTATACTCTGGAGTAGGGTAAACTGGAAATATTCCAGCCCTCCAGAAACTGAATCTCAGCGTCCAAACCTTTCAGTCATTGATTGAGTTAAGGTGTCTGCCTCTTCACTAACATCCTGCCAAAAGCAAAAATAAATTCTCTCTGGAGGAAGATAACATCATTCAAACCTTCACATTATGTATTTGGTACAAAAGATGTGGCATATCTGGGGACAAAACTGAATGACAGTGAAGAGAGAGAAAAAAAAAATAATAGGCCTACACATATGTTAAAATTGCATGGAGCTAAATAAACATACACACGAGCTCAAGGAAAACTGTAGAAATCTGAATAATAAGGTGTCAGTGTCAAAGTCCTGGTTGTGATGTCACACTATAGTTTTGCAGGATGTTACCATGGGAGTAACTGGAGGAAGGGCACATGAGATAGTTCTGCATTATTTCTTACAACTGAATGTGAATCTGTAATTCTCTCAAAACTAAGAGCCTAATTTTAAAAAAGATCTCTATAGGAAATCCATATGTGTGGAGTGAGACACAGACTTAAAAATAACGATGGTTAATATATTTAAAATTTTAAATGACAGAATTTCAACAGAAATGTAAACTATGAAATATAATCAAATGAAACTTCTAGAACTGAACATGTGGACTCAATAAGTAGGTTTAACAGCAGATTAGACACAGCTGAAGAAGGAACTTATAAATTCTATCAAAGAGCTCAAAAGAAATGATTCAGAATAAGAATTAGGGAATAGAGCAGAAAGTACAGGGGGGAATGTAAGATTAATATGGACATAGTGGGAAGGGTTAACATGTAAGAAGCCCCCAAAGAAGTGGAGAGAGCAAGTTGGACATAAATAATATTTGAATAGAAACTGAGAATTTTCTAAAAACCATTAAAAGACATTAAGTCACAGGTTCAAGAATTTCTGGGAACTCCAAACAAGAGAAATGAAAAACAAAACAAAACCCACAACTAGGATTTTGATAGCGAAACAGCTATAAATCAAAGACACAGAAAAAATCTCAAAGGGTCTCAAAGAATAGGGATGCATTACTTTCCAAAGAGCAATGACAAGACCTATCGTTGACTTCTCGGAACAGAAGAAGGAAGACAATCAGAAAGGATTGGCAAGAAATATTAAACATGATGAAGCCCTGATGACATGGCTCAGTGGTTGAGCATCGACCTATGAACCAGGAGGTCTCGGTTCAGTTCCTGCTCAGGGCATATGTCCAGGTTGCAGGCTCAGTCCCCAGTATGGGGAATGCAGGAGGTGCTGGTTCTTTCTCATCATTGATGTTTCTATTTATCTCCATCTCTCTTCCTCTCTGAAATATATATACTAGTAGGGATGAAAAGCAAAGACCTACAATCAAGATTACTCTACCCAGCAAAGCTATCGTTTAGAATGGAAGAATAGACAAGAAAAAGCTAGAGTGTAGCTTCACCAAACCAGTATTACATGAAATGTTAAAGGGTCTTCTAGAACAAGAAGGAGGAGGAAAAGGAAGAAGAGGAGGAGGAAGAAAAGAAAAATGAGGAAGAGGAGGAGAAGGAGGAGAAATATGAATGAAACTGCAATAAACACATATCTATCAACAACTGAATCTAAAAAACAAAGTGAACAAACAAGCAAAACAGAAACAGACTCATAGATATAAGAAACATTTAGAAGGTTTCCAGATGGGTAAAAAGGTTAAGGGATTAAGAAGTACAAATTGGGAGTTACAGAGTAGTCATGGAGATGTAAAGTATAGCATAGGGAATATAGTCAGTAATATTCTAATAACCATGAATGTTGTCAGATTGGTATGAGATTTATCGGGATGACCACTTTTAAGTTATATAATGTCTAATAATTAGGGTAGATACCTGAAACGAATATAATATAGCTTGTCAACTGTAATTTAAAATCATAAAAAGAAAAGAAAAATGACATCTTCAAAGTGCTGAAAGGAAGCAATGGCCACTCTAGAATTCTACATTTTAAAATTCTGAAA